TGTTTTTATTTCCAATTGTTGGTATATTGAGTGTTGACAACAAATTGTTGACCCTCACCGGCCCACCTACACTATCAATCATTGCTGTAAGAAAATGAAAAGAAACAAATTATTTCATTTAAGTATACAAATATTTTGTCAAAAAAAACTTCACATGGATTGTAATTTACATAACCCTGATAATAACACATTGCATAAATTTATATAGAGCTATTTTTATCTGCCTCATGTATGTTGAATATTACTGTGACTGTGTGTATTGGCAGCCTAGTGTAAACTGTGTCTTTTGTATAAATGTACATGTAGGATTCTGTAATGTCTTACTAAAAATTGCATTGTTGCAAGATTTAATTTAGCAATGTTTTATCATTTGTTTTTCAAATTTCTCAGTGACTTTGGGGAAGTTAAAACAGTTCAGAGGGAAGTTTATAAACAAGAGGGCCATGATGGCCCTAGATCGCTCAACTGACTTATCAAACTCATCCAAACAATTACCTAGACAAGCATTCTGACCAAGTCTCATGACAGGTGAGTCAAAAATGTGACCACTACAGTGTTAACAAGGATTATCCATATTTGAGCAGTGCGACCTAGTTTTTTACCCAGGTGACACATATTCAAACTTGACCTAGAAATCATCAAAACAAACTTTCAGACCAATTTCCAGGATACTTGGATCAAAACAGTAGCAACTAGAGTGTTAACAAGATTTTTCTATTTTTAGCTCCGGTGACCTAGTTTCACATGCAATTTCGAACTCATCCAAGCAATTACCCAGACAAGCATCCTGACCAAGTTTGATGATAATTGAGTCGAAAATGTGACCACTAGAATGTTAACAAGGTTTTTCTATATTTGGGCGGTGTGACCTAGTTTTTCATCCAAGATGACCCATGTTCGATCTTGACTTAGAAATCATCAAACAAACTTTCAGACCAATTAACAGAATATTTGGATCACAACAGTAGCCACTAGAGTGTTAACAAGATTTTTCTATTTTTAGCTCCTGTGACCTAGTTTTTCATCCGAGATTTCCCATGTTCGATTTATTTCCAGCAATGACCTAGACAAGTTTCCTGACCAAGTTTGATGACAATTGAGTCAAAATTGTGACCACTAGAGTGTTAACAAGGTTTTTCTATTTTTAGCTCCTGTGACCTAGTTTTTCATCCGAGATGACCCATGTTCGAACTCATCCGAGCTATCACCTAGACAAGCATCTTGATCAAGTTTAATGATGATTGATGCAAAAATGTGACCGCTACAGTGTTAACAAGGTTTTTCTATTTCTAGCTCCAGTGACCTACTTTTTCATCCGAGATGACCCATGTTCAAACTCATCTGAGCTATCACCTAGACAAACATCTTGACAAAGTTTGATGATGACTGTTGCAAAAATGTGACCGCTAGAGTGTTAACAAAGTTTTTCTATTTTTAGCTCCCATGACCTACATTTTCATCCGAGATGACCCATATTCGAACTCATCTAAGCTATCACCTAGACAAGCATCTTGACCAAGTTTGATGATGATTGGGTCAAAAATGTGACCGCTAGAGTGTTAACAATGTTTTTCTATTTATAGCTCCTGTGACGTACTTTTTCATCCGAGATGACCCATGTTCGAACTCATTCGAGCTATCACCTAGACAAACATCCTGACCAAGTTTGATGATGATTGGGTCAAAAATGCGACCGCTAGAGTGTTCACAAGAATTGTGGACGGACGACGGACATTCACCGATCCTAAAAGCTCAACCTGAGCAAGCTCAGGTGAGCTAAAAATTTCACAATAAGGAGTAGTCCAATAGATTAGACGTTACAGGCTTGTTATAGTTTTATGTTGGTCAAGCCTGACGTCTAATAGTTATTGCTCATCAACGCGTAGCATTTTGAAAAATTTAAAAAATGTCTGTTGACTTGCCTTTCAAGCTTTATTCAAAAGCCTATCTTCTGTTCTTTCAATCACATGGTCTATCATTAACAAAAACTTTCAAACAATGTACTTATCAATTAAAAATAAAATATAAATATCAATCTATGTCGCTCATCAGCGTTTTACAGATTGATTCCAATTTTTTGAACGGAAAAATATATTCGAACACACTGACGGTGCATGGACAATTATTTCGTTCAAAAAATATTCCGTAAGAAACATCTGGACTCATTTAAACGCTTGCATTTGAAATTAGCCAATTAGATTTCGCGCACTGTATGGCTGCCATTTGTATATCGGCTGTACAAGGTATTTAATTAAATGAGAGGATTTAATCATGACTTTTCGGATGTGACAGTTCAATTATTTTGTTAAAAGATATTTACTTTTTAGTTTTGTTCATAAATAGGTCAAAATTAATGTAAATACACGCTGTTTAAATTGTTTAAATGCATTAGATCTAAATCGATGTCTAATGTCATTTTTTTTGCTACACGATTTTGCAAAGATCTGTTAAGACCTAACGTAACATGGAAAATGAAAAATGTAAAATAACAGATTAATGTATGATAAATATGAAATAGGTTACGTATAGGTCTTATAATATTAGGACTAAATAAGGAGTAGTGTTTTACAGTTCAACACAAACAAGATACATGTATTCTGTATAATAAATTAATTTTAAATTATTTATAAATCTGAAACATAAATTTGGTTCGCATAATTTCTCTCATAATTTTACATGTTTGACATCATTGGAAGACAAGTAGATAAACACTGATAAATGTATATTCATTCTGGTACGAGACCTTACATCTATGAATTCATAATGATAAATCAGTATATAGTACTTTATCTAAAGTAGGATGCAATACATTAATCACTTACGTACCTGTTCCTAATTTTGTGTTGACAACGAAACATGGCATTCCAACTTTCCCAGGTCTTCAATCTACTAGAGTCTATGTGTTTTTCCATAGGGAACACAATTCACATGACCACATTCTGTGTATACAAATATCCAGACGCACCCTGTTTAAATTCACCTAACATGTTGTCAAAAGTCAATGGTAGCCTATTGGTCCAAGTCTACATTTTTTACAAAATCTTAGGTTTGACCGTAACACGCCAAACTCAACGATTCTTCTTCCCTCTTTCCAACCCTCATTATCAACCGATTTAGGAAGAGTTGATGTTTTGTAGAGCTGGTTTGGTTGACCCGTAATACTGGTTACCTGCACTATAGTTATGTTTTATAATTAAGTCGGAATACTTGGGTTTTCTGCATCTTTTTAAACTTTTTTTTAATCGACCGAGCGTATCACGCCTGTAAGACGCCATGTTAGATATCTACGGAAATTACGTCATTTTCTTGGGGAATACTACCACGTGACCGGGGATATCCGCTATTATTAGAATTCCGACTTTATACGTAAACAAACGAAGTTCGTTACGATAAATGGCGAGATATTGCGGTAATTGTCGAAGATTGCCGATTTCATTATGGGTCTTCTACCTTATACTTTTTTAACTGTTATTGTGAACTACAATACCCTCCATGATACATATGATGTATCAATTTGATAACTCTTAGGCAAAAAATAAAAATATGTTTGTTTCCACTTCCCGACCCATTAAAATAGGGTTGAGTAGGTAGGTAGGTAGGTTATAGCACGGATTTATATTACATTTATTGTAATATAAATCCGTGGTTATAGGTAGGTACATGAAGGACTTTTTATATGTGCATAATAATATAATTCCTTGGCAAAATAGTTATTTACTGAACAAAGTTGGATTAACTTTCAGAACTGATATTTTTGTGGCGATTATCTGGCAAACTTGTTTTTATAGAAACGTTTCTGGTGAACTTTCAGCGAATATTTTTTTTGATAGAAAGATTCTGGCAATCTCTGGCAAATTAGTTTTCCACTGAAAGTTTCTGGCAAACTATTGGCGAACAACTTAATATTCTGGTGAATTCGCCGCAAAGTCGCCAAATGTTTGCTACAGAGTTGCCACTAGTGGCGATATCTGGCAAACACTTGACACAGTGTTTCGGCGAACTAAAAGGTTTGCAGCGAATTTGCGGCAAAGTTGCGGCGAGTTTACGGCAAACATTTCCTTTTGGTACATTATTAATATCATGTATGTCATAAATTGTATCAAAGCTCTGTGTAGAAAACAAATGATTCCAAACTATATATTTGTATATATTTATGTTTTGTTTTTGTTTTTATCTGTTTGGGTTGTCAGACCAAACAAATAATGGTAGCGAAATTTCTGAGCCTTGTGCTGTTAATTGCAAATGCCTAAAGTAGTCCACTTTTTTGAAGCGGTTACTTCCCTTTATATGTACACTAACGCCGAAAAATTCAGGGGAGATCAATGCGTAAAGATAATAAGATATTGTAATTAAACTTGGTATACAGCAAGCTTATATGAAGACTTCTGTTGGTATTGCATTTTGACTCTCTGGTGTCGATGTCACTGCTACGAAAAATAGAAAACTAGTTTCCGAACAATAACTAGAGTTAGAAATGAGATATTGTAATCAAATTTGGTATGTTAAAATCCGGTTTGGAATTGCTTTAAGACCCCATGTGGTCATAGTCAAGGTCACTGTTTCTGAAAATAGAACATGGTCTTCGAACAATTTCAAGAGATAGAATTGAGATATTGTTATCAAACATAGTGTTCTACAAGCTTGTATAAAGACCCGTGTTGGGATTGCTTTTGGGCACCCTGGACTCAAGGTCAAGATCATTGTTACTAAAAAAAGAAAATGTGTGTCCGACAATAACTTGGTTTCTGGACAATAACAATAGTTAAGAATGAGATATAAGAATTTATTTGTACATAGTTGATACCTCTTTAATTAAAGGTCGAGTTAAAACTTTGATTCAAACCACGTATTTTTCAAAAGGTCAAAAAGGTTGCTAGTTGGGGTATTTATCAGCTTAAGTGATACATGTAGCTCTAGTTTTTTTTTGTCATTGCTTTATCATAGTTTCTATTATATTTTTTATTTCATTCTAAATATTTCAATTATTTATTTTTTTACAGGACGATAATTCCAGAGTGGTAGCCCGATTAGACACAAAAATGAAAACTCTTGAAACAAACTTGGAGGAACATATGAAATACATGGGCACACAATTAGCAGCGATTCTGGATAAAATAGTAAAAAAACCGGAGGAAACTGATTCTGGTGGCAACAATGTAATAAATGTATTTTTGATCAGATATTCCTTTAAACGAATCAAAGTATATACTTGTTTTCATCTTCTTTCTTACAATAAAATATCATTTCAATGTTTTTTTTAATAAGTACTTCTGACATGTCAAAATTTAAACACTTTGACCGTAAACTAAATGCCTAATTATCAAAGGGACTAATGAGGGACCCACACGTTACCTTGCAGACATTCCGTTATATACATTTTACGCTGTAAGCCGTTGCTGTGCAAACTTATCAAATGAAATATTTAGTCAAGTGTGCGCAATGTGCGTAGTACATAAAGATTACTTTCCTTTACAAGTATCTAGACAATGCCGCGTAATTGGATGGTACAAAGTATAAAGAGTTACCGACCCTAATGGGCACCTCTCAGATTCAGCTTTTCATTACTTTTATTGTAATCAGACATTTATTTTTCAAATATTAGCAAATTTCATCATCTAATACTTTGTTGTTATTTTTAGTTCTACAGCCATATTTGCATTTTGCAAAGGTGTCAAATTTTGAGGGATTATTTTTGCATATAAAGGAAGATTTTTGTTTAACTTAATCATGATTTGTTTTCTTTTATTACCTATACAATTAACAAAGTAATTTTTAGTAAAAAAATGTTACAATTGGTCATCTTAAATAAATGCATGCGCGTAAAATAACAGACTTGATACATGTATGTATAAACAAGTTCTTAAAATATAAAACACTTTTACCATATAGATTATGCTATAACAGTTTGAATTTGATACACATGGAATTTGGCTTGGCCTGCATTAAAATATAATTTATTTACATATACATTTATTTCCATTTTTTTAAGACAACCATATTTTATCTATATATATATTGGCTAAAATGTTGAGAAAAAACGTTAATACCACTAAAAAAGAAATTAAAATCTATGCGGTTGCCTGGACCATGGTTTGAACCACAGACGTCTCACTTCCTACTTGAGCATGTTAGCTATCGGAAATGTCGAAAGGTTTCCGAATGATGCCAAATTTAAAATATACATAATGGTTTATAATCCTTAAAATTTACGGGGGTGGAAGCCCATATGGGTCTCAAAATTTAGCATTGGTAAAAAGTATTTGTGAATATGCTGATCCAGATGTGCGCTAAAACTCGATAAATAAAGAAATAGGTCAATCGCATGGCAACCTTTCAACTTTTAAAACATTATATAAAATTAAAAGCTTTTTTTTTAAACATAAATCGAAATGTGATTCTACCCACCTGACTTTTCTCTATATTAACCCATTTTTGTTAAGTCGTCGGTGTGATATTCTCAAAATTTACAAAATCTTACCACCAAACGATGCTTAACATTGAAACAACTCCTCATTGAAACAACTCCTCATTAAAACATTTATTATACAAGTAAAATGGTTTCCTGCGGGGAACATTTTTAATATTTTAATGATATAAAGATAATTATTTCATTTAACTATTTTCAACATTTGTATCAGGAATATAGTTGACAATAATCGACCAATATAGAAGAAGGTCTTTTGAAACTGGTGACCGTTGCGTTGAAGACCCGAGAAGGTCGAACATAAAACAATTATTTCTTTTTAGAAAATGATTAAATAGGCCTACCATTTTATTGATAATTCCGAGCAAAAAAAAAATAAATATATAAAGTAAACACACAAGTTCACGCGGAAAATATCTATATTTATTATGGCAGATGCCACGACGAATATTTTAATTTTGAAAATTTAAGTATTTTGTAGAATGTGAGATAGATATTAAAGAAATATTGATAATTTTCAAACACATCATTCAAGTTTTTCCACCTAAAACGGTTAAATAATTATAGAAAATTAGAAATATCACGTATGTAATAGTTTTTTTTTCTTAATTAGGTGTAATTCGGACTAATTCCCTAGAGGTAAATCCGTAACGTACCGGCAAACGGTATTTAGCTAGGTTTTCGAAAAGGTTAATTAACCAATCATGTACGGTTTATAGATCACATGCTCCTCCATGTACCGAAAACAGGTCACGTGCTCCTCCATACCTCAAAAGTTAAACGCGTACCAATACCCTGCGGTCTCCAGACCGCAGGGAATAACACGTTACTTCTATTCAGTTTCACTATGTCAATATAAACCATTACAAATAATGGCATGTCTTATCGGAACGTTGATGAGTTGATTTTAAACATTTTATATGATTATGTTACAATAACAGTTTGCTGCCAAAATTATAAATAGATTTATGTTCATGATTCTTCATTTACCATTATCATACAAATATTCATTTGCTTTTGCCTTGTTACTCGACACGAGTTTAGAATATTTCTTTTGACGAAGTTTACTTGTAATTCATTGCATGACAATCAATACGAAAATTATAGTGCCTGTGAGTAAAAATCTATAAGATTTATTTGATATGATTCATTCAAATAAGAATCAAACAATTACAGCTTTACACAGATTTGGTCAATTTTACTTGTCAGCTGTATAATAGTTAGCCTATTGATGTAGTTATATTTAATTACCAAACACTGACTTATGGACGTTCAGCCAATGCTACGAAACATTAAAATTGGCTATTTAATTGTTATATGAAAGTGATCCGTATTTTTCTATATGGTTTCTTTTATCACCAAAGGATCTCTTCAGCACACAGGAAGCTCGACTAGAATTGTGGCCAGCAATTCCTTTGTTTTGAGCCAAATCTCAATAAATGTTTTAGTAAGACCTTGTTTGAATGTTAAGCAGCAATTGGTGGTAAGATTTTATATAAATTCTGTACTTTGAATTCGTTTAGCGACATGTTCTTCATACGCATTGCATATTTTGTGCACACCAGAACCCACGACGGACATAATGTCTCTACATAGTCTGCATAAAAATCCAATATCGTTTTTTTTTTGCCCGACACAGAATGGACATGTGCGAAAAGCTACTTCCGTTTCTTAGAAAATAATGTAATTTTAAAAACAAAAAGTTTGTAAGAAACACTCGTCAAAATGTGTGTTACTTTTAAACTTTCGTAAAATTATTAATATCATGAATGTCATAAATTTAATCCAAACTCTGTGAAGAAAACAAATGATTTCAAACTATATATAGCTATATACTCTTATATATTTGTGTGTTTTTTTTTTTACTTTCTATATATTTTTTAATTTTTTATTATTATTTACTTATTTACAGGGTGATACATCAATAGAGGTAGCCGGATTTGACACGAAATTAAAAACCCTTGAAACACACTTAGAGGAACATATGCAATATAGTGGCAAACAATTTGCAGCGATTTTGGATAAAATGGAAAACAACACAAAAGAAACTGATGCCAACCATGAAATTAATGTATGATTTATCACATATGCCTTAGAACGAATCAAAATATTTACTTATTTTCATATTTCCTTACTACAGTGAAATATCATTCAATGGTTTTCTTAGTTAGTACTAATGACATGACAAAATAAAAACAAAATGAAAATTTGAAGATGGTCAGTCTTCAGTATAAAGTCTGTGAGACTGTGCTGATGTGCAGGGTAGCCTGACATATACAGTTGTTAAAGGCTTACCACTATAAGGTCAAGCAGGCTAAGGTTTAACTCGTGATAAATAGTCATATGTAGTCATATGTATGGATCTTGTTTGAGTGATCCCTCCGATATCTATCTAAGAGAAATATTATAGGAGTGTATTGATTTGGATCTTGTTTTTAATTGAATGCATTGTATTTATAGGTAGGTTCAATAAAGTTCGGTAGCCAAATACAAGAAGTAGATCAAAATCTATGAACAAGCAAATATTACGGTTAATTTTCAAATGATAAGAGATTTCCTAATTGATGGTTCTGTGTTATGAAATACACCTGTCACGCAAACATCCCACGTAAGCGATCCGCCAACCGAGTCCAGTCAAATTTACCACCAGGTAGACTGCGTTACTGATAAAAATGCATTCTGTCCAACCTGATTGTCTTAGCTTTGGCGATATGATTTTCTACAATTGCACATTTTATTAATTATTGTTTAAAATATCAGATATACCTGCCAATCTACTATTGTCATATTATTATTACACTTAAAATGATAGAGAAAATGTGACTTAGACCAGTTTAGACCAGTTTTACGAGGTTATGTATTAATGATGCACAAACGGTGGTTACATCATAAAAGTAAATAATTATATTGTATTTGCATCTATTTGCTATTTTTTGATACTAGTAGTTTGTCTAAGGTATACCGGATACAATAACAAACAAAAAATTAAATACGTTATTTGGCGAAACACGAAAGGCACTTTCAAAACGATAGTAAGGTCGTCATTTAGACGAATGATCTGTAACAGTAAACATATTCTTGGAAATATTTGTAATGCTGGTTGAAGTATATTGTGCTTATTCATTTCTTTTTATTTGAGTTACATTATATCATTTTGGTCCCTTAATTACTTACGGTGTTACTCGTTTTGGACAAAGCTTTGTACAACAGACTCGGCGTTACTGTTTAACAATTCATGTGTTATTTTTACATTCCTGCGTTACTGGATATATACGATGAATATGCAGTGCTTTGATTTAGGCAAAAGCTTAATGATTTAATATAATTTTATCAGAATTCAATTTAATTATTTCCGCCAAGAAGATACGATATACATGTACTTACAAGCGTAATACAAATACAATAAAATAAAAGTACATCATAAATGTTAAGGAACACTTTATCAAGAATAATAAGAATAAATAAAGAATAATAATTTTTGTAGTAAAAAAAACATATATGAATGATATTCAATTAACTTTATAAGTAAAATCTATATATACATGACAAAATTACGATGCATTATTTAATTACAGAAAACTACGTTGACTTTGCATGTTAACGTTTTTTATGATATTAATCTACAAATCGCACAAAAACGAAATGTAGAAAATGTTTTATGACCAAGGTCAATGCGAATAATCGTCTATTGCTGGGAGTGAGATAGAAAATGTAAATACATAGGATGAAACATTTGACAGTTCATAAGTAAAACCTTGGTGTATAGCCCTAAAAACGACAGTTCATAAGTAAAACCATTGTGTATATCCCTAAAAAACAACAGTTCATAAGTAATACCATTGTGTGTAGCTCTAAAAAACGACAGTTCATAAGTAATACCATTGTGTATAGCCCTAAAAAACGACAGTTTATAAGTAATACCATTGTGTTTAGCCCTAAAAACGACAGTTCATAAGTAATACCATAGAGTATAGTCCTAAAAACCGACAGTTCATAAGTAGTACCATTGTGTATAGCACTAAAAGACCGACAGTTCATAAGTTATTCTGTTGTATGTAGCCCTAAAAACCCGACAGTTCATAAGTAATACCATTTTGTATAGCCCTAACAAAACGACAGTTCATAAGTAATACCATTGTGTAAAGACAAAACAAAACACAAAAAAACGACATTTCATAAGTAACACCATTGTATATATCTAAAGAAACGACAGTTCATAGGTAATACCATTGTGTTTAGCTCTAAAAAAACGACAGTTCATAAGTAATAACATTATGTATATCCCTATATAGACCAAAATCGACAGTTCATTAGTCATACCGCTGTATATATCCCTGGAAAAAAACGACAGTTCATAAGTAAAACCATTGTGTATATCCCTAAAAAACAACAGTTCATAAGTAATACCATTGTGTGTAGCTCTAAAAAACGACAGTTCATAAGTAATTCCATTGTGTATAGCCCTAAAAACTGACAGTTCATAAGTAATACCATTGTGTATATCTTAAAAAACGACAGTTCATTGGTAATACCATGGTGTATAGATCTTAAAAAACGACAGTTCATAAGTAATACCATTGTGTATATCCCTTAAAGACCGACAGTTCATAAGTTATTTCGTTGTGTATATCCCTGAAAAAACGACAGTTCATAAGTAATACCATTGTGTATATCCCTTAAAAACCGACAGTTCATAAGTAATACCATTGTGTATATCCCTAAAAACTGACAGTTCATAAGTTTTTCCGTTGTGTATATCCCTGAAAAAAAACGACAGTTCATCAGAAATACCATTGTGTATATCCCTGAAAAATGAAACGACAGTTCATAAGTAATTCTATCGTGTAAAGCCCTAATAACCGGCAGTTCATAAGTAATACCATTGTGTATAGCCGTAAGTACGGTCCCAACCAAAACGTTATAAGAAACAGTCGGCCAAGAATGTCGCTTGCCACATTATTAATATTACGTATAATTTCTCAGAATGGACGTCATGTTAAGTACTTGCTGTAAAACTGACTGGTAAAAATACTTCAGTACATCAATTCATATAGAAGTATTGTCTATGAAAAATATAGCAAATAAAATAGTATTATGTCTGTAAAACATGTGTATTTTTTCATTAATTTGTGTAGAAATGATTTAAGCTTACATTAAGGACAGATATTATGAAACAGATTTTATGTTACACCCTGTATGTCATAAATATAATCAAATGTTTTTGTAGAAAAAAAACTATATAGCTGTATATACTTTTTTATTATTTTATTTTTTTCCAATTGATTTGATTTCATTATTTTTATTCATTTTCATTTTTTTTCATTTATTATTTATTTACAGGGTGATAATTCAAGAGTGGTAGCCGGATTAGACACGAAATTTAAAACTCTTGAAACAAAGTTAGAGGATATGGCCGCCCAATTAGCAGCGATTTTGGATAAAACGGAAAACAATACACAGGAAACTGATGACACCCATGCAATTAATGAATGACTGATAACATATTCCTTTAAACAAATCAAAATATTTACTGGTTTTTATATTTCTCCCAACAATGAAATATTATTTAAATGGTTTTCTTGATAAATATTAAACTGACATGTCAAATTTTAAACTCTATGACCATAAACAAAATGCCTAATTCTCAAATTAATTTACTGTATATTCAATGACCATTTGTTCGTTCGGTAACTATCGGAATCCAAAATAGATAACATGGATTTTCAAGAACGGCACAACGTTATAGGTATTCCAGCGGAACTTTTGTCCTACTTCCTTCACTAACAAGGTGTAAAATATGATTTAAAGAAAAGTTATTAAGTTTAAAAAAAGTAAGAAAAATTAAAATGGTTTATCAAGAATTTGAACTTGCAACTACTTGAACACAATTCCGTTGCACTTACCACTAGACCATTAATTAGTAGTTATAGGTGACAGTATAGATATCTTTACATTTGTACTTTTATTCAGACTCATGTGTAACTCATAGTAAACTACGAAAACTAACGAAAACCCTCAAATAAATTAAACAGTCAATACTGCCAAACAATACGATACCGTGGTGTGACTTGGTTATATTAATAACAAACTATATATAAACGCGCAAACACCCACACATGTATGCATATGTTGTATAATTTGGATTTTACTTTGACATTATTATTATATAACATTACAGAATATTTTTAGAATTACTTGACTTTGCATAATACTGATTAAAAGACCCATTTCTTTAAACAACATCATTCATAAACTTTTATGCTTATTTTTAACTAAGAAATGTGAGTTTTAATTTTTATCCTACAGTAGATGGAACTCATTACAGGGCACTGATGTCTTTTTCACTTAGCCTGGCCAATACACAGATTGGTAAACTTTCACATTGCCAGACCTCGAACTTACAAGTAGTTGACATTTCTTGTCTTTTATATGTTTATAAATAAGTTACGTGTGATATAAGTTTCTAGTTTATTGTTAAAATTGTTTTGTTATACTTTCTCTTTTTTGTAATCATTGTTAATGATACTGCTGCAAATTTCAATGAATCATTATCAATTTTTAGAATAATTATGTAAAGAAATGATAAGCTAAAGCATTTGTGAGGTAAATTCTGGTTGGCTTTTTGCAGACGAATCAGATAAATTGTTACATACAGTGCCACCTGTTTGAAGATGTTAGCTCACTCTGGGTTTAACCAGACATCTCATGGAGTTTTGACGTCTGGTGCTAATCTTTGAAGAAGTAACATCTCTGAAAGCTCTCTAAAGTTTATTAATTAATTTATTTATTAACTAATGAATCTGTTTAGGTACTTTGGCAGTAAGTAAACCTTAGAGACTATCTAATTTCACTGAAACTTTTTTGAACAATTTTTAAGTAATTTTAGTAATTTCTTTTTTTAAAGATTAATAAATATCTTTTCTTCCTTTCCTAAGTGGCAGCCATATTGAATTAATTGCTATTCATTTTAGTTAACATAAATTAAAATAAGGATTACTACTAATTAAATGTATTAGTTTATAACACAGAATCATTTTGGTTGTTTTTCATATTTTCAGTTTTTGTATAACTGTACAAAGAAATGTTATTCTCGTAAGTTTTTTATATTTGCTTAGTTTTACTGCATGAAACAATAAGTTCCATATTTTGTATAAACCAATAAATTGTTTAGAGTCTGCTAGCTACTAACGCACATCTGCAACGTTTATTTGAAATTTTGATCAGACCGCCCTTTATTCACGATTGATAATTCCATTGCACTTGCCTATCAGTAACGTTGTAATAGAGGCCTTTGCTATCGGTGTATGACATAAACGAGCATAGAGCCACATTTACAAGTATTCACTATCAGATTGGTACAACGCAGTGATGGCTTTGAAATGTTGTAGCTTTATTATAAAGTCTTTACAATAATTTATTATTGTACATGGTTTGTTTTTCAGATTTATTATACCCGTATCTTAATTTACCTTAAATGCAATACTCCACCTTCAAACGACATGTCATGCGCTGTAACTATCACTTAATATTAACAACTTATTTTTCCTACATACATTTTATGGGACACACGGGGATATAACTTTCAAATTGATTTGAAATTGGCGTCTCTGATTGGATAAAAAGTGAAGCAAACTGTAGTTTTGATATTTCATACTATTTATTGATTTATTATAATGTATATTTTCTATATTACTAGCTTCTAATAAAATCAATTAATACTGATGAAGTATTTTATTTTATTTATTTTTATGTTATTTTTGTTGTTGTTGTTTTTGTTGTCGCATTTTAAGGAACGATGACAATGTATTAGCCATATGGCGACTTTCCAGCTATACCGGTAGAGGTAAATCTCAGATACCCCTACGTGCATTATTTCAAGCAACAACCTTCCGTAAGCTAGCTTGATCGCTTCCTTATATGAAATAATACAAGGTCCCTGACGTGGTTCGAACCAAGAGCGATGTAGGGTCAGTGATATGCAGTGAGTGACCTTAAACATCTGTTTAAATTAATGCGTTTACAAACACTAAGAAACAGTAAAAATATATCTCTGCTCAGAAGCTACGTTCCAGAATATCCCTAGTGGTACAAATACTAAAATACCATTGGTAACATCAATCACCATTGGTACGAGTAATTGGCAGTTTACTCCGGAAAGGTTTTACCATACTATTTGTGTCATTGGCATTATAATAAAAGTTGGTATTCAAAAGTTGAATCAATGGCACCCCAGTCGACTGATCTTAGTCATAAATTTGATCTATAGTTTAGTCCAGTTTTTTTGTGATTTGTGTTGCTACCAATAAATGTTACTCAAAAATAAATTATTTCTGCCTTATATGATCAATGAGGACCAATATATCGCTGAAAACCTGCTCATTTTGACGTCAAAAGCTACAGTACCTAAGCACTATTGTGTCAGAAAACGTATCTACCAAATTTGTCTGTAAGCATGGGTACCATTGGTATCTCAATGGTAGAATTCTACCATTGGTTACCACACTGGCCATAGCTTTGGCAGAAGCGATGGGTCCATCGCAGCGGTGGTGGAGTATTTGTCGCAGAAGCGGTTGATAAAAAAATGTCCGTTTGCTTTTGTCGGTAAGTTTATGACTGAATTATCATCTGGTGAGACGTGAGCTCACATATGTACTCTTCTAACTTATTATATGAACACGGTACAATGTATTCCCATTTATGCAAACACTTCTCTACAGTTTAACGAGGGGACACCACTTTTGCCTAATTATAGTTAAAACACGTAGAAACGTGTGAAAAACGACCCCTAAATACACCAGCATCACATCGTATGTATGATACTTGCACAAAACAACCATATTTTAAAACTTCTGGAATTGTTATTTTCTGTTATAAAAGAATTGAAAAAAAAGATTATAATGCAGACAAAGGTTGATTCGATTGCAACGCAGTGCGGTAGGTCCGATAACATTAATGTCTACTGTGAAGTTTTAACTAGACATAACGCATTTTTCAATTCAGCACAACCCTTTACTTTGACATAAGAGAAACGTTTGTTTTGAGTGTTTAACACAATATAGTTATATATAAATATAGATGTTCGAGTTCTGCTTCCATGTTCCTTCCACTGAAAATTTCATTGACCGGTATGTTCATAGAATAGCCTACGTTCAACAAACTATTTTATTTATTTCTAAAGGTGTTTTTTTTTTTTTGTGAACAGATTTCGATTCTGAGTTCGCTGTTGTGATCACCTGAGCCGCATACGGTCCCATAACTTGTTAGGAATATTATTCATACTGCTTTTATAATACAACAAACTTCCTTTTTTTAGAGAAAATTATAAGAGTTCTTTATAATTAAACAGCACAATACTGTCTATCTTACAATTTAGTAAATGCTTATAAATTTCAAACATTTATTTAATTCTTTGCATTAAATTATTTCAATTTTTTTTGATGAGTTTATATATTTACTCAGATTAACTCATTTTACCGGACAGACACTTGTATAGATATCTTTGAATATTGATAAAACTTTATTGAAAATAGGGGCGAACATTCCGATAAATGTACCTGTCTTGCTAAAACAATTTAAAGGATCTGTACCGTACTTGTGTTTTCACTGAACCATAACTTGCGAGTCACTGTTGATGATTTTTATTGTTTTTGTCCTATGTTCCATATTTTATCGTGCAGAATATAAAGCTATTGTGCCACAAGAGCATGACGCATCTTTTAGATCTATATAAGTAACCAATACTGCACATGAATGGAGTTTCATCATGCTTTCACTGTCTATGGAAATACCAGCATGAAGTAGCTGGTGATACGAATCAGAAAGATAACAAATCTATTCTTATTTTACCATTCAGTTTTCTTTGGAAATATATGAAGCTAAGCTATATCATAAGTACTATAAACGTGTCTACTTTAATTATATAAAGTCACGTATCAATCCTCCTCGAAAGATATTCACAGGATATTTTTGACAGATTACTTATTTCAACATGTTTAAAAGCTTTACACCTACCGTTGATTTTATTATGCTTTTTAAAACACAGTTTTATATTATCAGAAATGCATTGACTATCTATTCCTGACAGGTACGACTAGGATCACTCTTAATAAATCAGTTTAAGGAGTTTTCTGCATATTATTGTTAAATGTCTAAAAGGTAGTTTTCACTCTTAAATGTTAATTTCAACTTATTTTTAAATAATTAAAAAATATTGTCAATGTATACATAAGGTAACGTGTTAGTTTTCTTTTTAAACAATTTAAAACGTTTATCAATGACTATAGTTATCTTTAAAAGATTGATATAAATCCAGTTCCTTCCTATAAATCGCCATATACATGTATTTCAGATGGATTTGGCTGAATCGTTTGTAGTTGGGGGTCTTGACAGTAGCTTAGTGTAACAAACACTCCAAGCACGCCAACATGAAAACACAACATGAATGTTGGATCTGTGGAATACATGTTGACACCAAGTTTAATCATAAACATTTTTTACATTAAATCTTAAAAAATACTCACAAGTCAGGGTACAGATAAAAAATTGTACAGATAAAAAAATTGTAAACTCACAAGTAGGGTTCAAAATCACCAGCAAGTAACGTTCATTTTACGGAATTGACCACCTTGGTAAAACTCTTTAATTTATTGTTCAAAATACAGCAATATTTTTTTCCAGATGACTAAATTATCGTTTGTTATTGATAATTTTATTAGTTTGATATCACAACCAAATGTATAACTAAATCGACCTTGAAATAAGACGGATTTCTGTTCGTGTTCAGTGTTGAACACCTGAAAGTTGTTCGTTAGTTTCAATTTTGTATAGCATTAATGCTAACATTTATATTTGGCATAACTTAGACGTTTAATAAAGTTTCTCTTCTCTTCTAACGTCCATAAGTATCAACATAAATACCAATAAATTAAACAAGTTAAGCGGCAGAAAAAGGCTGACATCTTCTCACAAGATCCGGTTGGGGTAAAATCGTTAATATACTGTGAACTAATTACTTCTATGTACAATATTGCATGAAACACTCGTGTAGTCCGATAACAAAGACGAGGTAGCTGGACGTTTATTTTCGATGTTGAGTTATTTATGGGTGATTTTTATGTAGTATCCGATATTAGCAAGGTATATAAAGAAAGATATACAACTATTTAGTAATCCAAAAAATCCTTTATAACTCGTAAAATTGAATTTTTCACAGAGCGGTAAAAGTTTTACTTGTCACGTGACATTTAAAATGTAAGGTTTTGATTTAGGTAGATTAATGAACACTGTTTTCAAAGTTTTGCGACACAATAGTCTTTGTATCATTTATTACAGTTGAAATCATACAGTCCTTCTTTATATAAATTTTTCGCATTAACACAATTAACATTAAACAACTTATTATCTATATTTAACTTATGCTAAATGTTATAAAAGTTTAAGCCACATCTAAAAAAATGTTTGAAAAATTTAAAAATTTTTTTCAAAACGATTTTACAACGAAAAATACATCTTAATAACGTATTAAAAACTTCTTAACCGGCGAAAATTTTGGGGGGGGGAAAAGCCCCGGAAGTTTTGGGTGCGGGCGACCAGCGGGTGCGACGTAAATTGGCTCCGGGCGGGTGGCCGGGGTGAAGTTTTCGTCCGGGCAAGCCCCCCGGCTGGCTGCCAAAAATTTTAATGTTTCAGAAATGTTATTTAAACATTAAAACTGCATTTAATGAAGTTCTAAAGACAATTCTTTTTATTTAAATGATATATAAAAAGAAAAATCACTTTGCGATTTTTTTTTATTTTATCATTTTTTGTAAAGTTGGCGGCCCAGCGGCCCAGGATTTCAATGTTGTAAAAAACGTTTGGAAAAGAATTGAAAAAACGACTCTTAATTAACTTTTAAAGACATATCTTTTCATTTAACAGGTATATAAAGGAACAAAAATCACAATTAGAAAGTAGTTTTTTCTCTAGCGACCTGGCAGCCGGAAATCGAAATGTTATAAATATGATAAAAATGTGACTTTGTCAAGTTTTTATGACTATTGTGGATATTTCAAAGGTATATATTAAAAAGAAACAAAAACACTTTCAGACATCTTTTTATTTATCATTTTTTGTGAAGTTGGAAGAAATGTTATATAAATAAATTGTATTTTATGAAATTCGTGTTATTTAAAAGATATATGCTTTGAGAGATCTTTTATCATTTTGTAAAAGTACCTCAAATTGTCATATATATGGTACACGGGGAACGGACAAAAGCCCTCCCAGACAAAAGCCCTCCCGTCCAAAAATGACAAGGCGGACAAAAGCCCTCCCGTGAAAATGACAAGGCGGGGTAATATTTTCACACGAATGTCGTTTAAAACAAAGTCACTTTCTAAAGTAATTGACTCATTACAAGGCAATTGGACTTTCAATTTTAGTTAATTTTAACATCTTTTCATCATTTATTATTCTATTAATCATAATTTCAAATTTGAGTAATCCTTCATTTTTACGTGAATAAATATGAACTTACAGATTTTAGTACTTATTATTCAGATGTCAGTCAGGAATGTACTCAAGCTCATACAAACACTGGAAAACAAAAATATTCATGATTACAATTTTAATATGTTGAGTGCACTGAATTGAAAATACAAACTTTTCAATGTACATATGATGATATATTTATTTGCTGCGGGAGGGCTTTTGTCCGCCCTGTTATTTTCACGGGAGGGCTTCTGTCCGCCCAGTCATTTTTACGGGAGGGCTTTTGTCCGCCCTGTCATTTTTACAGGAGGGCTTTTGTCCGCCCTGTCATTTTCACGGGAGGGCTTTTGTCCGCCTTGTCAATTTTGGACGGGAGGGCTTTTGTCCGGGAGGGCTTTTGTCCTACACTCATGGTACACATGGTATTCAGGCGTTGATATTTTTGCTTTTTCATAATATACGCGTTATTTCATACTTATTCGGGTTTTTGATAATATCCATTTGCCGAACAGAAGCACATAAACATGTGTTATTTCAGACTTGTTCGTGTTTTTGATACTATCGATTTGCCGAACAAAAGTACATTAAAATTGATAGACTGGAACGCAGGCTAATATATGGTGTACAATGTCTGTTACAAATCTGAATCGTCCTTAATGAAGTTTTAAAACATTTTTTTCGGGTCCCATCCAAGTTATTACCCCCGTCCAAACCATGAGTATAGGTCAGGTAATCATCCTTTACTGACTTTACGAACAATTGTTGTTCTATATGAGCCCTCTATTAGAAGTATAACGAAGTATTATATTCTTTTTCTATATTTATTTGTTAATTTTCGAAGAAAAACACGCTTTCACATATCAATCAAAACCTCCTCCTTCTTTCTTTTTTCTTAATCGAACATGTTCCACAATTTTGACATTTGAACAATTCCAAAATTAATCGAATAACTTTTGAACATTCCCCTCTCCATGACAAATTGTGGTTAACAACATTTTCATAAAGTTTTCTATAATCAACGACTTTGTGACATAGGAATGACTAAAATACATAAAACAAAACGAATCGAAAATTATGTTTTACAGCAAATTACACTTACTATTTTTACATCAATAAACTATTTCGAATTTGTAAAATGCCATAACACATTTAAAAAATCTATTCCTATTAACCGATAATTATCCTTTAAGCTTTAAAAGAACTTTTCAAATAAAGAAAAATATGTTTCTTACATACCTTCACATAATATACATTACAACATACAGTTACTTTTAAAAAATAAACAATTTTCTAATTACATAGATAAAATTTCTAATATTAACTTTGAAATTTATTTATGCTTTATTGTCTTATAACAAAAATAACATTACTTTAATTCAGATTATCTTTGCACTATATAAATTTCTAGTCTTCTCTTATTGAAACAATTAAGATCATTTTTTATAAATTCTAAAAAACAAACATATTACAGTATAACACTTTTCTTGCAGTCATTTCTATGAAAGGAATATAACACAGAATAATACAAATTCTCAAAAGTTTTTTATATTTAAAGTTTACTTAATCTTTTCTCAGGTCATTGTCTTTATTAGTTAAAATAATCAAATAGTCATGTTTTTTCATTCTGTGAAGCAGATCTTCATCTCGATACCAATACCTTTTCTATTACTTTTATATTATAAAGTTAAATTAATCCATGCTCTTATATGCAGGGGGATTATTATGCCCCTTAACACAGTGCAATTCACTTTTAACGTACATGTTTATTAATATTATCTTATTAGAATAACTTTTTACATATTTCGCGTTTGCACGGGGATAATTATGCCCCTTACACAGTGCAATTAAAACAAATATATATTTATTTTTTTTTTATTATTTTTTTTTTCAGTCTTTTCACGATTCTTAATTTTAATTAACTTCTAATACGTTTCGTCTGGAGCTTCTATTAAACACAAAACGCGTAATTGTCTTCTATAGATGTTTTTCCCCATTCGGACATCTACTACTCGTACATGTTTATCAGTTACCTGGATGTAAAGCGACAATTCTTCCAAGTGACCATTCTCCACGGGATTTATCAGCATCAATCACCAGAACTACATCATTCACTTTCAAGTCACGTGTTTCCTGGTGCCATTTCTTTCTATTACTAAGGGTTGGAATGAATTCTCTCAACCATCTGTGCCAAAAATGTTTGACTATCTCTTGCACATATCGCCAACGTTTTTTTACATTGAAAACTGTGCTATCAACTGCTTCCGGTGTGAACTGTCCTCCTATTTGTCCGTGAATGAAATGGTTAGGGGTCAAAACAGTGTCATCTTTTGGATGTGACGTTTGATATGATATTGGACGACTGTTTATTAGTCCTTCAGCTCCAGTAATTGCTGTAAGAAGTTCTTCATCAGTGATATCAGCACTGTTTAGCACTGCATAGATAGCTCTTTTTGCACTTTTAACCATACTTTCATGAACTCCACCAAAGTGTGGCGCTAGAGGCGGATTGAAGTGCCACTTAATTCTGTGATTATTTGCTTTTTCAGTAATTTTTTGTTTGTCCATCTGCTCGTATAACTCTAACAACTCATTATAAGCACCTACAAAGTTCGTTCCATTATCCGAATACATTTCTTCTGGAAAGCCTCGTCTACTGGACATTCTATAGAAAGCATTTAAAAATGAGTCTGTATCTAATCCAAAAGCTATCTTCAAATGCACTGCCCTCGAAGACAGACATGTGAATAAACACAAGTATCGCTTTTGTCTTACTTTTCCACGTCCTTGTTTGGTTAAAAATGGTCCGGCAAAATCTACAGAGCTATTAGCGAAAGCTCTCATTGATTTCTTCAATCTAATCGGTGGCAATGGAGCCATTACCTGTTTCAATACTTTTGCTTTAAGTTTCTTGCATTTGCTACATTTTTTCTCCCAATCTCTTATTTCTTCACGACCACCTATTAACCAGTATCTTGAAGACATTGCTGCTAGTGTTTGATTTGTACCGTAATGGTTCCCTGCTTCATGGAAGCTCTTTACTAAAAGTCTGGTTACTGGACTTTTACGAGGTAATATGATTGGATACCTCACATTATATGGTAAAAATCTTGCGTGTGTTAGTCTTGTATCACATCTCATAAGATCTTGCTCATCAATTTTCACATTCAAAGGAATTAGTTTACTGCTTCTCGGCATTGGTTGTCCTTTCACTATACACGAGTATTCTTCTGGATAGTGTTTTACTTGTGTTTTATGTATAAACATGTTTTCTACTTCTTGTAATTCTTTCAATGTCAATACTCTGCTTTTGTTTCTATCATTTGTTTTCCTACAGTTATCTGTAAACCTTTTGACCCATGCTGTAACTCTAAGAAGACGTAACCAATCAGAGAATCTTTCTGGATCCAAACGATCTTCTGTTGTAACATTACTAATAAAGGATTGTTTCGGAGCTTTCATTCAGTTGACTCTTTTCTTGAACTCATTTTTCTGTTACATCACTTTTGTCAATAGAACGACAGGCCAAATGTGTTTCATCTTCATGTAAGAACTGTGGACCGTTCCACCACAAAGTATTTTGTATGAGATCTTTAGCAGTTGTTCCCCTTGAAGCTACATCTGCTGGGTTATGGTACTTGAAATATGCCGCCACTGATTAGGCACACTATGGGTATGTATTTCTCCAATTCTATGTGCCACGAAAGGCTTGAATCTTCTGCTTTTCATTGCTGATCCAATGAATACATTCGCACTATCTGTCCAAAATGTAACTTTTTCATACTCATAACAATTGCATTTTTTTTTCGTAACATTCAATACTAAACGAAGTCCCAAAACTGCCGCCATAAGTTCAAGACGAGGAATACTGACAGCAGTGAGGGGTGACACTCTGGTTTTGCTGCACACAAACTTGACACTTATATGATCATCTTCATTTTTACATCTCATATAAACAACTGTTCCAAATGCTAATTCTGAGGCATCTACAAAGACGTGCAGTGATGGATTTTTTGCCTCATCAAACGATAAACTTCGTGGTATAATAACCTTATTTAACTCAAGTAGACCATCCAGCCATTCCGTAGTTTCATCAGTCAAGTTGCTGTTCACTTTATCGTCCCAATCATATCTTTTTAACCAGAACTGCTGTAGAAGAATTTTTCCTTTAATGATGTAAGGGGAGAGAAACCCGAGCGGATCGAATAAGCTTGTGACTCTTTTCAGTAAGTTTCCTTTTGTGACGGTTTGCACTGAACAGATATCTTTATTCAGTTTAAATGTAAAAAACATCTTCTTCAGCTTGCCATGTTACTCCCAGTGCTTTTGTGATTGGTAAGTAACTTGTGTCCAAATTTACCTCCTTGGCCCTTTCTTTCTGTGGTATTTTTTCTAATACAGTACGCAAATTTGAAAGCCACTTTCTGGCATACATTCCAGCTTTCAGCCATAGTTCAGATAATTGTTCATACAGTTCTAACGCTGATTTTTCTGTCGGCATAGAATCCATAGAATCATCCATATAGGTCGACTTGAGAACTGTTTCAGACGCTAATGGAAATTCTTCTTTATTTAGTTTTGCGTTTGTCTGTGCGACTAATTGTGCTAGGAAAGGCGACGCGTTTACGCCAAATACTAGTGTTCTAAACTCATATTCACTAGAGTCCCATAAAAATCTATGAAACCTTCTATCTGTCTCGTGAATCCCGACTCGTAAGTACATTTCACTAATGTCACAAACCAGAGCAACGTCATATTTTCGAAATCTAAGTAACACATCAAAAAGTTCATTTTGTAGTTTAGGACCTGTTTTCAATAAAAATCATTCAGACATACTCCTTTGAATTTTGCCGCAGCATCAAAGAGTATTCGTACTTTCGAGGTTTCTTTTTCAAAGCCGTACTACTGGAAAGTGAGGTAAGTACCACTTGTTCTTGTGATCTTCTTCATTTGTGGGAACTTTACGTATGTATCCTTTATTCTCATAGTTTTCCTAATAGTTTCTTTGTATGCCATCTCAATCTCTGGTTCTTTACGCAATCTTTTCTCGGTATGATTTAAACGGCGCACAGCCATCTGATAGTCATTCGGAATATCGTTTGGATCCATTTTCCATGGAATTTTCACTTCATATTGACCTTTTTCATATTTCATCTCTTTTTCACTGTCTTTCAAAATATTTTGTTCCTTTTGCGTCAATGGCTCTTTCATTGTTACACCTGAATTGTCAATGTCCCAGAAACCTTTCAACATTTGATCCAGATCATCTGGTTCATTTACAAAATATGTTGATAGTAAACTTGTATTTTATCCCTTATCGAGCTGTCCCACACATGTCCATCCTAAAGGCGTCAAACGTGCCATTGGTTCTTCCAGTCTTTCCATGAATCTCATGCAGAGAAGAATGTAAGACAGCATAATCCAGACCTATCAACATGTCAATTTCTTTATTCTTGTCTATGTATGGAAAATTGATCCCCTTTTAAGTGCTCCCATTATCTATGTGTTTATTCCAGTTCACTGTTTGTAACGAAACCTGTTACATTATCTAACCACGTATGCTTCTATGTCCGTATGTGACTGACCATTCAGACTTTCGACACTTAAATTCACTGACATTGTTTCGAAGCTTTGTACTCTATCGTTCAAAGTGTTTACTTGTATTGTTTCTATTTTTCCTTGAAGTCCGAGTTCTCCAGCAAGACTTTGATTTATGTATGTTTTTGTGCTTCCATCATCCAGTAATGCATTTATCAAGATTTTTCTAGAATTTTCTGTATACACTACCACAGGAACTGTACGTAAAGCTATTTGATTTTTTCTGGCGAAAAATCCTTGTTGTTGTTGCTGCTTTGGTTCACCAAATGTTTCTTTTCTTTTTGGAACAAATTCTTGTGCATCACTGTTTAATGATTGCTGGTGATGTAAGAGTTTATGATGATTTCTAGTACATCCATTAATACCACAAACACGAAAGTTTTTACTTTCATTTCCTCGGTGGTTATCTTTTAAACACCTGAAACACAACCCTATGTCTCTTGCTTTCTGCCATCTATTCACAGTATCCATAGATTTGAATATTTCACATTCCCAGACATTATGTAAATCTGATCTACAAATTTTACAATCTTTCTTAAACTGTGGCTTATTGTCATTAAACTTCGGCTTGTTTGTCAGCAAGAAAAGATCTATTACTGTTTTCTTGGTCTCTCATTATTAGCTAGTCCGTGCTTTGTTTCAGAAGCTATTGCCAAGTACTTTGATTCTTGATTGATCCAATTTCTTAAAGTTTCAACAGATTCTTCTTCTGTTGTTTCATAAAGCCAACGATGAAACCTACACAACATTTCTTCTGGCAATTTTCTTTGTAATGACAAAATACAATGTACCATCACCCAGATCCCCTTCACGGTTAGCTTCTTTCATATTAATTACCGCTATGTCCAGCAAGTCAGCAAACTTTTCTATTGTCCTTGGATCTTCACTTCTAATTGACTGGAATTTTTCAATATCATCCATAAAAAACGCATTATTTTTCGACGTTCACCACCAAACTTTCTGTCTAACGATCCTTTGCAGCAATATATGCTTCAGCCGAATGTCCTAAATCATCTATAGCTTGTTATGCCTCACCTTTCAAATACTGACGTAATTGTAACAATTTATATTCTGGTGTTGCTGGTGCTTTATCGATGCATGCCATAAATGCAGCCTTCCAAGTTTCATATTTACGTTTATCACCATAAAAAACTGGAATACCAGCACGTTTCATTTGACGCCATAGATCTTTTTCTAAATTTTTTGTTGGTTCATCATTTATTGACTTTGTGCTCTGTAGTATCAATAATCTATCATACACTGTCTGTGTAGATTCACTATATATCATATTCAACTGATCAATTTCTTCAGTTACCTTATTTGCACTGTCATAGTCTTTATTACCTTTATACATTCCACAAAGTTCCTCCAAAATAACCATGGCATCATCCAACACTGCATCGAATTTATCATTAAGATCCTTGACATATTGTTTATCAACAAGTTCTACCTCTAATGCATGTAACAGTTTATTTTTAGTCTTTGTAAATGCTGTCTTCACTTTTGACTTCCGCAATTTCAAGTCTAAAATATCTTCCATGGTTTTTATACTCGGTATCCGAAATTAGTATCCGAAATTGTGCAACTATTATACACTTGTAGTCCAAAATCCTTTATGCAACGTAATTTACCGATAACATGTAGATTAAACCTCGCTCTGCTACCATAATGTTCTATATGAGCCCTCTATTAGAAGTATAACGAAGTATTATATTCTTTTTCTATATTTATTTGTTAATTTTCGAAGAAAAACACGCTTTCACATATCAATCAAAACCTCCTCCTTCTTTCTTTTTTTTCTTAATCGAACATGTTCCACAATTTTGACATTTGAACAATTCCAAAATTAATCGAATAACTTTTGAACAATTGTGCTTACAAATTTATTAACATTAACTCATGATTATAGCATGAGGTTTTGGTCATACCCTAAATTAGTACCTCCTTGTTATTGGATGAAACTGAAATGTTGAAAAAAATGGAGAAATGATTGGGATTCCGATTGCACAAGTGTAAATAAGTCGTTATTCGGTTGACAAATCGTTGCCAGGTTGTATTGAATGTTTACATGTTGTCATTTTAACTCTATTATTTGTTTAAGTTCAATACAGTTCTTAAACATTGATTTGTATTAACATTTGTTTATGTTGTATTTTGCTTGTAAATGTATATAGTTGTTTAATTTATTATCATGAAGCACATGATTGCCAATACATCTTTCTTGCTATTGATGTATTTAAACACTTCATTCCTATGGTGTTGTATATACGTACATTCCCAGAATGAATGTACAGTATCTTTGCTTTCTAATTAAAATTATTAAAGTTTTGCTTCCATTTTCGATCTGCATCGCATAATGACATAATAATACCTCAACACCCCAGGAATTATGGTAAAAATTACTTTTTTTGTTACAATGGTGCCAACATTTGGAATAGAATCTTATTTTTATATCCGTCCTTTTTTTTTCTAACATCTTTTAAAAAAATAAAAACTAACAAGCAGATGAAATAAATATCTTTATAACCATATCATTATATTTCAATAATTATTATGCATGTATATTTGTAAAAACTAAAAGTATTAGTTTGGTGAGTGGTTATCGCGTCGGACTAGTCATCTATGTATCGCTCGCTATGTTGGCACAAACCCCGTCAGGGGCAAGCTGTTATTTTCTTAAGCAAGAAACTTAACACAAATGAATAATGGCTCCGAGGCCACGAAACAACGAAACTGGGATGGCCAGAGGTCGAAAGTACGATGACGATGATACAATATTATACCGAATTTTCATCATAGTGTTTTTTTCTTTGTTTTTTTTTTTTCTCTCGACTTTTAACCATCATAAATTTGTTTTAATGTTG